ATGCTGGCAGGAGACCAGAGGGTAGAAGGTGGAAGGAAAGGAGAATCTTCATCCCTCTTGGTCTTGAGTGGTGTCTGTGGAAGTGGTCGTGTCTTTTCTGTGGTTCCAACTCCCTCCAAGTGACCCTGGCCCCCAGCCACTGATTACACTGCTTCCCCCTCAAGTCCCTCCAACCCAGGGGTAGCAGTGGATTCCCGGCCACCTCGCCCTCTCCGGCTGGGCTTCCCGGCTCTTCCACCCTCCATGTAACCAATTCCTTGCATTAAATTCCAGGTTTAAAAAACTCAGAATGAGTTCTGCTTCCCTGGTTGGGCCTTGCCTGATACAGTAACTCTATCCATCCTCTCATCACCCTCATCACCTGGAATGACTTACGTCCTCATTTGTAGTCACTTATTCAAGGTCTGGCCACCCACTAGACTAGAAGCTCCCTAAGGGTAGGCACTAGTCTGGAGGCTCTGCGCTCCCTCCGCAGGGCCTGATGCAGTAGGCGCTCAGAGCATCATATTTGTCCCTGGCCGCAGATGAGACCTGAGATAAGGTCACTTGACTAGGAGGCAATTAGTGGGTGTCCATGGAGAGAAGGGGTGGTGGGCAGAAACCAGACTGCAAGGGGTACATGCAAGTGGGGAATGAAGCAGACACCAGGAGTACCAAGAAGTTCGGGAGTTGAGAGGGGAAAGAAAGTTGGGTCAACAGTGTAGGAGAAAGCCAGGATAGGGGAAGGGCTTTTGTTTTTTTTCTTAATTTGTCTGTTTTTAGGCTGGGGAGATGATCACATTAGGAGGTTGAGAGGAAGAAGCTAAACGGGAGAAGTCGAAGGGCAGGAGATGCAGGGACATCGGAGGTGGAACACACGACCTGGGTGGTCTCTTGGGAGGATTACATCCACCAGCAGGGTTGAGGACAGTATGGAGAGGAGACTGGAGGCAGGGACGCGAGTTAGGAGGTGATCACCAATCAGGAAGTGAGAAGAATTTGAATCAAGCCTTAACCCAGGGCTCCCCAAGAAGGCTCCAAAGTTGGGAGAGCTCTCAGAAGGTATGTCCAGGACCTGCTCTGGTAAGGTGGTTTTTGCCAGGGAGACCCCCCACCCAGGCAGCTCCGTCCTTTGTGGAGATCAGCACCTCTCCTCCTCACTCACACCACCATGACACCACCTCTTCTCCAATAGCTCTGTGGTTCCTTGTAGCCCTTTCCATCTCCCTACGTGGGGCACAGAATTGGTCGGGGGCAGTCAGGGTCCAGAATCTAGTAAACGTTTAACAACAAGCTCGGGGGCGGGTAGCCCTGCCTTATACCGTTTGCCAATTTCCATGGTGTAAATACTCCCACCATATCCAGTTTCAAGCTACCAACGTGAGGTCACCAATGGCACAGTAGGAAGAGAGCTCCAGCACATCACTGCCTGCAACCATTCCCTCCCCTGCCTCCATGGCCCCTCCACAGACTCTGGACTGGGCGGAAGCAATGGGGCAGGTCCAAGCCTGGGAGGGCAGCGACAGCACCACAGCTGCAGCCTCAGGCAGACCCCTGATAGGGAAAGTAAAACTGCCTCTCCTCCAGGAACACCCACCCACAGCCCCCAGTCATCTCTGATCTCAGCATCTCATCTGAGTTCTTCTCAAGTATAACTATAGGATCTCACAGAAATCTGGGCCTGCGATCCACAGACACTCAGATGATTCACAAACCACTTTCTCACTAGACGTGGCTGGACATCATGAACTGGGCTGACTAAGGCAATAAAAACCAGAATATAATTTCCTTTCTTCCAAAGCAAACAGAAAAGCAAAAATGATCCAAGGATAGCATTCTCTCACTGATGCACAAAATGCACTCACTCTTCACCACACTTCTACAGAACTGATGGGCAACTGGCTCCTTATGGCCCAAAGTCTCTTTACAGAGTCCTGCACGCAGGAGGGCAGGGGCCCTGGGGTCCGCCTGGTTTGAATCCCAGGTCTTCTATTACAGCAAAGTGACTTTGAGCAAGTTACTTCTCTCTGAGCCTCAGTTTGCTCATCTGTGAAATGGGATGATAAGTAAGAGATACTTACTCTATGGGGTTAGACTGCAAGAGTTCTCAACTGGGGGCAATTTTGGAGACATCTGGCAATGTCTAGAGACATTTTTTGTTGTCACAACTGAGTGCAGGGGCCTAGTTACTGGCATCTAGTGAGCAGAGGCCAGAATGCTGTTAACCATCCTACAATGCATATGACAGCCCCCCACAACAAATGAATTATCCAACCCAAAATGTCAATAGTGCCAGGTTGAAAAACCCTGGGCTAGAGGGAATATTCAGTGAGGTTATGCACGCAAAGCACTTAGAAGTGTCTGGTTTACTTTTTGTAAGCTCTCAAAAAACAGAAGCTGCTATTCTTTTTGGAAGAGCACAGTCTAACCCTCCTATTTCCAGACTTGAACCCTTGGGGTGGGATATGGAAATCCTTGAGTGCTGAGAGCCTGGCTCACTGCTCCAGGTGTGAGTCACCCTGTAAATGTCAATTTATTTTATTTAAAACAGAGCTGAGGCTGCACAAATGACTCAGGGCTAGAAGCTTTCCCAGGTTGTCGTGACTTAACTGGCTCGGCTGAGAGGAAGTAATTTTGCCCTGAAGCTCTCCTTCCAGAAGGTGCAAGCATTTTAAGGCTCCACAGTGCTTACTCCAGTGGGTGTTGTGTTGTTTCTCACCTCACCCTACACACAGTGGGGCTTGGAAAGACCTGAGAAAAGCAGCTGAAACTTCGAGGCCCTGCTTGTCCCAAATACCGTCCTCACTAGTGTACGGTGGTTTGTTTCTCCTCTGCAGCCTGATGTGAAATTCCTTCTCACGAGTCACAGTTTTGGGTCAACACAGCCCACTCTCTCCCATGAATACACATCAGTGTTCACGGATGGATTTAAAGACAGATAATCTTGATGGGGGGGGGGCGGCATGGAGGTGAACCAGGACCAGAGACGTCTCAAGGGAAGCTGGGTAAAGTGTGTGGGCATTGGCTGTCCTAAAGAAGGAATGGTGAGAGAGGGAGAAGGCAAAGGCGAGCCAGGGAGTGTCTGCAGACTCTGGGCCCATGCCCACGACTTTCCTGAGAAGTGGTGTGCCCAGAGGCAAACAGGTGGTGGGAGAGGCTACAGGCTTGCTGATACCGACCTGTAACCCACCATCTGGCCAAGTTCCGCCTCTCCCTGAGTCACTGAAATGAAAAACCCTGGCGTTGGAAGGAGCTTTAGGGTTCACTAGCTTCTTTCTTGCCCACCATCTCCCAAGCCAGTCAGCGGCAGAGCCAGTTTATGCATCAGAGACCATCCAGCTTCAAGCATGCGCACCATGGGGGCCACAACCTCAAATGCTTCAGGGGCCAGACCGATGACATAAGGTTAAGAGGTTGAGTGTAAAACAGGGGTAGGGGCTGTGGGGAACTGTAGGCTCTGCGCTAAGGCATTCAAACTCAATTTTAAAAAAACATTGGGCCAGCCAAACAAAACATACCTATGACCTGAGTGAGTGGGTGAGGCCCTTAGGTTGTGAGTTTCCCACCTCTGCCTAAATAAATGGTCTTACCTATCGCCCAACAACGGAGATGTCTGTTGGGTGCAGATCTCCAAAAATAGTTACCAAAAACTGTCTGAAGAGTGATCCTGAGCAGGTGGCCTGGCCTTTGTTCAAACACTGCCAGAGATGAGATGATCCTTACTACTCAAGACAGCCTGGGATGCGACCTGCCTACCCCACCACTGAAACCAGTTACTACACCAGCCTGCCGTGGACCACTGATGAAGGTGTGGTGCCCAGGTACGTGCATATCTTTTATTTTGCCAACCTTTATTTTTTTTTTTAAAGATTTTATTTATTTATTTTTCCCCCCAAAGCCCCAGTAGATAGTTGTATGTCATAGCTGCACATCCTTCTAGTTGCTGTATGTGGGACTCGGCCTCAGGATGGACGGAGAAGTGGTGCCTCGGTGCGCGCCCGGGATCCGAACCCAGGCCACCAGCATCGGAGCGCGCGCACTTAACTACCAAGCCACGGGGCCGGCCCTTTGCCAACCTTTAAAGTTTGGAATTTTTTATTACAAATCAAATACACGCTCACTGTAGAAACGATGGCAAGGGCAGATAAACGAAAGTTAGAAAAGAAAAAATGTCCATACCTCCCCTAACCCCCCAGCCCCCCGCCTCCCATCAGAAAGAAGCACTGTTGACACCTTAGTGCGTATTCAGACTCCAGGTCCTTTTTTTGCATAGGTAAAGCTCTAGTCTTTCCGGCTGTGTAGTACTCGCACCACGTTGCTTCTCCGGCTGTGGGAAGGGGTTGCACCATGCCATCCGCGCGCCTTCTCATCAGACCTCGGTTTCCACACACAGGTGTGACCTGTGTAGGCCTTTGGCTCCCCAAGCTTCTCGAGCAGGCACCAGAACCTGTCTTACTCGTCCTCAGGGACTTTACAGCGCTAGGGACATAGTAAGTGCTCAATAAAGGTGATTCTAACCGTCCTCCCGCCTGCTTACGCCGCCACAGCCTCAGGCAAAGAGGAAGCAGAACCAGACCCTAGAGACAGCGCCTCGCCGTCTCCAAGGTAACCGAAGTTCGACCCTGGGGAGTGCCCACGCATGCGCACACTCGCCCTTCCCTCCCGTACCTCCAGAAGAACGCAACCGTAAAAAGACTGCCACAGCCGAGCGCGCATGTGTGGTTACACCTACACTCGAGTCGCCTCCGCCATCTGTCAATCCGTCCGCCCAGCAATCTCTTCCCTATAAACATCGTCCGGAAGTAGTGCCCATTTCTGAAAACGAGACCTCGTTAACCAATCGTTGCTAGGGGCGGTGCGCCGGGTCTAGCCAGGACGCGCTGTCTCATTGGTTATGTTGGAAGAGTGGGCGGGGCCAAAGGTCGAGGTGCGGCCAAAGCAAGGAGGCGCGAAGCGAGGCAAATTTGCAGCCGCCGGGGGAGGCGTGGCCCCGGGGGAGGCCGGGAAGGCAGTGAGGGGGCGGGACCCGAGTCCGGGGCGGGGCGACCGTGGGGCGGGCCGACCGTCGGCCCAGAGAGCAGCGGTCGGCGACCGGCGGCGGGAGATCGCGGGTGAGGGGAACGCAGCGCTCGCTGGTTGGGGAGATCGGCGCTCGGCCGGTAGGTGACGGAGCGGGACCCCGGGCCCGGAGCGGGGATGGGTCGCCCCTCAGCCCGGGGCCGGGCTGCGGCCTGGCCCGCCGCCCCAGAATGGGGGGTTCGGCGGCGCGGCCGGTCGGACCCACTCGCGCTCGAGCCCTCGGCCCTGGCGTCCGGCAGCCGGCGCGCCCTCACGCACGCTGCCAGGGCCACGGTCGCACGCCGTGCTCGCCGCACCCCCGCAGGCCACACGCTAGCCCGGAGCGCGCGCAGGGGCGCCCTGCTTCCCCTTCCCCGACATCCCCATTCCCCGGCGCTCCCTGCCTCACCAGCAGGCCTGCCTCTCCTGCTCCGGTCCCCGGGTGCCCCCAGGAGGGGGCCTCGTCTCGGCACGGGACGGAAGGTGTCTAGTGCTCAAGTGCGCCCGGTCTGTGCGCTCTCCCACCTGCCTGGCAGTGAAACCCTCTGGCCTTGCCTGGGAAGTTCTCGGGTCACACCCCGAGGCGGGGAGAAGGAGCAGAGCCTGCCCTTGGCACCCAGCGGGGTAGTGCTGGCCACTCGCAGCATCCTCTTCCTTTCCGTGACCCCTCTGGAATTCTTCGGTCCGCTCCACTCAGGACTTGATCTGTCGGCTCAGATATAATATTCCCACCTTGGAAGCCCATCGTGACCCTGGCAGCCTGCAGCCACCCGGCACCAGGGAGAAAGAGGCCACTTGTACAGTGCAGAGAGTCCCACCTGCCTCCTTGATGTTGAGTGACTTCAGAAAAAGCGTTTCCTTCTTAATTGAAGTTAAAGTGTTGCTCTCAGTCCTAAAGGGTGGACTGGGGAATGAGAGTGAGGAGGAGAGGATGAGTGGAGAAAAGATCCAGAAGTTAGTGGTGTAATTGGCAAAATTATTTTTGTTAACTGGAGACGATGAACACCAGTGACTTGATTAGGACTCTAAAAGCAAGTAAAGTTAAAAGATGAGAGGTGGGGCCTAATACAAAATAGCAGTCTGAAGTTTATTCCAGGAAAAATGTTGAAAACCCCTTGACTAGAAACATGGGCTTTCTGAAAGATTAGAAGGAGATAGTGTCTTCACATTAGTGATGTGTTTTTTACTTAGTATCTTCATACCTGTAACCTTTTTCCTTCAGATGTCTGTGTGATGGGATAGATAATATTGTCCTATTTTATAGGTGAGGCACCTGGGGCAGGAGGGGAGAGGGAGGTATATATCTTGCCTAATGCCTCATAGCTAGGACTCAGGATGAGGACTCCAGCCTGGGCCACTGGAGTCTTGTCCAGGCTCCTTCCCCTGGACCAGGACCACATTATGGGACTTAGATGCAGGAAGGAGGGAGAAGTGTTTGGTGTGATATTTATGCTCTTAACATAAGAGGACAGGTGCTTGTCTTGCTTACGATGTGTTTGGACTTACTCTTGGTGTTTTCGAAGTGATGTCAAAGTGAGTTCTTTTGGTGCAGCCATGCCAGACCTCTAAGTTTTTCAGACACCTTTAGGACATCTTCATTTATTTTGAAGGGTGTGGTGAACTTCTCAGAAGGTCTCAAAATAAAAGTAATAGTCTCTGACTTTAATTTTAGAAATACGTGCCCAGGTATACATTCCAGCACTTTTGTGAAATGGGACAGCAATAAGCTGCCAAACTGTAGGTCATTTTCTGACCGTTTTCAGATTATAGGAAGCAGTTCTGAAGGGGGTTTTTTGCCCCTGGTGTTGCCTGTTAGAGTTTGTGGGAGCGGCACCCCAGACAGAGACCCTGCCAAACGAGCCTTCATCTATTAAACAAAAATGTCTGGTTGGCCGTTCCGCCTCAACAGATGGAGGTTTGGTTCCTCATTTTGGTTCTCCTGTTGAACACTGACTCCTTTGTGATCTGCTTGGAGTGTTTGTATATCATTTAATGTTCAGAAGCAGGCTCGCCCTGATTGGTTGGTTGTCCAACTCCAGGCAACTGTTGTGATTTTTTTGGTGCGTGATAACAGTTCATCGTGGCCGAGGTCTGGTGAGAGATCTGTAGAGATGTGAAAGAGGTAAAGCTTCATCCAGGGTTGTTTTCTTCATTGTTGGCATCCTCTTAAGAGTGTCCTGTCACTTTGGCCTGTGAAGCCACTTTTAATTTCCTATTTTTTTCCTGTCTCAATGGATAGCACATGAGCTTTCCTAATGGGCTCCCTGCCTTGATGAAGAGCTGACAGACTCATGGTGGTTGGCTTGACAGATGTTCTTTCTGGGAGGATAGTTAAGAGATCTTAAAACCAAATTCAGTCCTGAATTAAAAGTATAAGTCAGCTCGATACACATATAGGCAGCATATTTGTACCAATGGCTTTTATCATCTCAAAGCTGTTTTTTTTTTTCCTGGCAAAAGGTTAAAATGCAACTAAAATTCTGCTTTCATGATTAATAAGTCACTACCGCAGTTGTGTCTGATGCTTCCTGTTTGCCCCATTTTTGTATTTCAGTTAAACTGGAAACATCTGAGCATTATGGGCACTTTTGATGGCACCAGTGTGAAATTGGCGGGAAGGGGGACAATTCCTGTCAGTGGATTGGGAAACTCTAAGGATAAGCCAGCCCCTCTGGCCTCTGCACACCCAGATCCTCAGGAAGGGAAAGGAGTGGGGGTTGAGTCTCTTCAAGGGGTGAGTGAGCATTTAAAGTGATGCACGTGTGAAGGCTTTGCATTTACTTGGTGATGCTGACTGAAATGTTGAAAGCAGTAGATTAGAAATGGAAGGCCAAATATAGGGCAAACTGTGTAGTAGAACATTTCAGTTGAGCTGAGCAAGACATTGAAGTATGTCAGATATGGGGTCTTTAGTTCTGGGCTTGTCTTACTACCTGAGTGACAATGCAGAGAAAAGATGTTTTTCCTCAGTGGCCTGTGTGCCCGTCTTTGTATTCTAGTTTAAAAGATCCTCTTCCCTTCTTGTTGTTTTATATTCTTTGATCCCGTATCCTCCTGATATGAATCCCTTGAAATTATATGGCATCAAGAGTAATGGTACTTTATAACTATTTTTTTTTTTTGTATTTTCTCTTTATACAAGTATAAAAAAAGGCAGGGACGAAGATCAGGAGAGTGAAGCCTAGTAAGGAGAAATAAAGTGGACGAGATTACTCAGGAAATCAGTGTCATGCCCAGAATCTAAACCCACGTTTCTTGACATCTAGTTCACTGCCTTTTCTACTAACTTACTCATGAGAGGATAAGTTGGGGTTTTTATTTCCCAAAACATGTCAATTTTGAATGTAACTAAACTAGGGTAGCTGCTTTATTTATCAGTCTATCTATTTATGTTAATTATTATTAATAAGTGTTAACAATTATTAATTGATATTGATTATTCATAATAATTATTAGTAAAAGGCTGAAAGATGAATAGCATATCCTCTGGATGGGTCTGCTTTTCCCCATTTTACAGATGTAGAAATTAAAGCAAAGTGGTCAAGTGATTTGCTCAGAGCCATAGAGCAAGGCCATGGTGTCTCCAGGTCAAATATGGGGAGTTAGGCTGTCAGGTCAGACAGACCTGGGGCGGGGCCTAGTCTGCCACTGTCTGCCTGTGTGACCTCAGGCAAATCACTTCGCTTCTCTAAGCATTGGGCGCCTCATCTGTAAATGGGATAGAAATACTTCATGGGGTTGTTCTGAGTAGAAAATGAGAGGGCATATGTGAACTGCTGAGCTCAGTGCCTGGCACACAGTAGGGCACAGAGCACCACGGCTGGTGGTGGTGATGGTAGTGATGGTGTCGGAGTAATCGCGGTCGTAGTAGTTGCTGATTACCACACTGATTGGACCTGTTTTCTGTAAGATGATGTCAGGAAGGGTCAGACTGCCTGACGGGGCAGAGTCATTTTCTCATTAAGACCTCCAGGGGACCGTTTCTTCTGTCTAGAGGTTTTCTGTGTCAAGTTCTCCTTGTCTTACACTAAATACCACCTTTAGGTGGAGGGCCTTTACCACCCTCCAAATGAGCCTAAAAAGGCCTGGGAGGCCCTTCCTGATCAGTTGGCGATCCTAAACCGTGGGCACCCTCGGCCCTCCCAGGACTCTGAACCAGAGGCAGAGCTGGGCCTGTCTAGGGCTCCCTGTGTCCCCCATGTGGTGAAGTGGGTCCCAGCCTTACCTCTGGAGGTGAAAAAAAGGAAAATCCTGTGTAGAATATAAGTCAACAAGGACTTGTTCTTCTTTGTTTAGGGAACTAGGAGGGAAATTTTGGTTCTGTGGGGTGAGGTTCCCACCGCCACGTGGCACCCCCGGCTCACCATCCTTTCCTCTTATAAGTATGTCTTTGTCAACTTATCACCAGTACAATGTTTGGGGGCCGTGGATCTGCAGTCAAGGACTTGCAGATTTCCCTTTAAATCACACAAGAAAAAAAAAAAGTTTCACATTACATTTTAAATTCTTTTTTTCCCCTTCTTAATACAAAACAAAAATACAGGCTCCCATAGGCTGACATTCCCTTTAAATAACATTTTGTTTTCTCTTGGGGAAGCTGTCTTGATGGCCAAAGAGTCATTTCTAAAGTGAACCTAGTTTTTAGAAAAAATAGATCACCGGATGTCAAGCCTCATGTGGAGCTCAGTTCAGATGAAAATGAAACCAGCAGGCCTGGAGTGGCAGCTCCACACTTGACTTCAGGCTGGAGGTGAGAGCAGAGTGTGTCTGGACCCGGCTCCATAGCTGGTTGGCCCCACAGACTGCAGTTGATAGGTGCCTTAGTCATTTTCCAGGCAGCTTTGCTTAGGTGAGCGGAGCACTTTCTCTGGAAGGTGAGTCACCCATGCAGGGGAGTGGGTGACAGGCGATTTCTTCCCCAGTACAATTGCAGAGGAAGTCTTGAGCAGACCTTGTAGAGAAGCCCTCTGCCAAAGATCACATGCATTTCAGCCCAAGGAGGCAGGGATAAGGAAGCAAATGGGAGGCTCCCAACACTTGCTGAGTGACAGAGAGATGGATCCTCTGGCTGGGGGATCATGTGGATGGGGCACAGAGCCCA